CCAAAGATCTCCCAGTGCAACCAGCACTTGTCAGGCCAAGGCAGGCAGTGGGGGCATCTGACATCCAAGAGAACTATACCCATTCTCAGCAAAGGGTCCCTTTTCCTCTTGCTCTCCTGCTCCTATGCTCCGGCAAGGTGAGCTGGGAAGGGACAGGAGAGGACACACCTGCTCTCATCTCCACTGCAGATTCCTGAGACAACTGTGGAGCAGAGCTGAGGGGGTGGGGAAGAGGTATTAAACTGCATATGAGAGTACAGTTTGGATCGGACTGGACTGGACTTTTAATATGAGCCTCTTCTTACAGCTGAAACTCAGAGCTATGGGATCTGATGTGATATTTCCAAGCTCAGCTCCTTTCATAGCCCAGTAAGAAGAATTTATTTCCGCTATTGATAAAGGCGCTGTGAGGGGTGCCTGGGTGGCTCAGTGGATTAAACCTCTGCCTTAGGCTCAGGTCATGATCCCAGGATCCTGGGATTGAGCCCCGCATGGGGCTCTCTGCTCAACGGGGAGCCTGCTTCCCCCGCCTCCTCTGCCTGCCTCTCTGCCTACTTGTGATCTCTGTCTGTCAAATAAATAAATAAAATCTTTAAAAAAAAAAAAAAGGATAAAGGTGCTGTGAGACATGCAGCATCCAGAGTGCCAAGCACGTTCCAAAATGAAGTCCCAGCAACCATAGCACAATGTGCAGCCATCAACTCCTGTTCTCCAACCTTGATATCCATGAGATTTCTGTTGCTCTGGGGTGCAAACCACCTTACACTATCCCAGGGGCAACCAAATGCCAACAGGGGCCAAGCAGGAGATACAATGAATGAAGGGGGTTAGGTGGGGTCCATGGTGAACTCGAGAGCTTGTGTCCCAACTGAGAGGGACAGCTATCTCTCAGATCTACCAGTTGTTGCCCAATGAGGCCACATCTTCCTGTTTTCCCAGATCCATTTTTGGAAGTGTCTCCTGATGTCAACATTATTGGTAAGAATATAGGGTTCTTTGTTGCAAAGGACACAGTATACTCCAGGTGGATCAAGTACAAGTGCTTTAACGGGGGTACTATGCACTGAATTGGGTCCCCTCCAAATTCACATGCTCGAGCCCTAACCCCCTCAGTGGACCTTTACAATGTTTGGGAGGTAATGAGGGTTAGGTGAAGCCAAAGGGTGAGGCCCTAATTCAAAAGAGCGATGAGAGCCTTATAAGAAGAGGAACCATGTGAGCTGTGTGGACTTGCTGTGTGGACACAGCAAGAAGACTCCCTCTGACATCCAGGAAGAGGGCTCTTATCAGGACCCGAACATGCCAGCACCACTATCTCCAGCCTCCAGAACTGGGAAACAAATAAATTTCTGTCGTGGAAGCCACCCATCAATGGTATTTTGTTACATTGGCCAAGGCAGCCTAAGAGAGCGGGTGGGGTCTCCAGGAAGACGACAGTGCTGGGCTCAGACCGTCCAGCTGGGAGCGACGCCCAAACCGCTCCATCAGACGGCCCCTGTGAATGCCATGCCATGCCTCTCAGCACAGATCCCATGCTTACACAGGGGCAGGACAGCCCGACACCGACGCACTGGATGCCGTGCTCACTATCAGATTGGCTCCTCTTTGTCGCTCGCTTCCAAGTATAAAAATCTCATGTGACGTGTGTAATGGTAGAGTCCAGATCACATGAAACTTGGTTGCAAGGAAGGTTCTCGAAGAGTGCTTTGGTTTCTCTTATGGAGAGGTGGAACTCATAAGGTGGGCATTTTCAAACCTAGGGAAGGTCTTCAAGGGGGCTGGATGGATCTGAAGTGTAACAATTGTCCACGCTTGCAATTAATTGGAAAGACATGCTGGTGGTGATTGGATTGAGAAAGCGGGGGCAAACGGAATGCCTTTGTGTGCTACTTACAGCCCTGCCTGTTGATGACTTCTGAACTATGGGCTACCTCCATTTTTAAAACTTCTGCTTCCACTGAGAACAACTAGAAAAGCCAAGTCAGATCATCATCATCATCATCACCTACTTAAAGGTGTTCAGAGAGCTGCCAAAGCAACCAGAACTAGAGGGGCCAAGATTCTGGAACGTGGAGGTGGGCTGACAAACTGCAGCCACTTTTTTCCTGGGGCATTTGCAAATTTCGGCACTTGAAATCTAGACTTCTCCCAGGCAAGGATGCTGCTGCTGAGGGCCAGAGAAACCGGCAGAATTCTGGTGGTGTCTTAGGGCTGGAGAGACAAAATTAGGGACTATCCTAGAGAGATGGGAGGGGTAGAAAAGTGGTTTTCCCCTTAAGATATTTGGCAAATTCTGCAACAGTGCAGGCCAAGAGGCTAGAAGCCAAACAGAAAGCCCCTGAAGAAAAACAGTGTATCCAGCATTCTTCCCATGCGAAGGCTACAAGCATTAGAGCACAGGACCAGGGGAAGGACCTCAGTGAAGACCAAAAGTTCTCATTTGGAATCTCTGAAAGGCAAAGCCGTAGAGGTGGGAGCCAGAGTTATATAGGAGTCTTATAAGAACTGCAGCTTTGCCTCCACCCAGCTCAGCCCCTGACTGGATTAACATGCTCAGTCCCCATGCCATCTGGTTGCAGAAAAAGGGTGAGCCCTCTCTAGGACTCCTGGAGATCACCCAGAGACTTGGTATGTATTTTTCATACACAGATGTTGTATGGCATGCAACAAAAATTACAAGGTCTACCAAGAGACAGGACCAAATCCCTGAAAACAAATAGAAAACGGGCTATAGAAACAGAGTGTGCAGGTGACCAAAGCCCTGAAATAAAATCAGGGCTTTAAAATAACCATGATTAATATGTTCAAGAGACGCAAAGCCAAAGAAGGAGAAAAGAATTGAAAGGTGAATTTTACCAGAGAATTGGAATCCATGAACTTCCTAGTTCAAAAGACTGAGGACATAGAGAACGCACTTGAGTGTCTCATTGACAGAGGGCTTTTGAAAATGCTGATTCAGGGGCACCTGGGTGGCTCCGTGGGTGAAAGCCTCGGCTCGGGTCATGATCTCAGGGTCCTGGGATCGAGCCCCGCATGGGGCTCTCTGCTCAGCGGGGAGCCTGCTTCCTCCTCTCTCTCTCTGCCTGCCTCTCTGCCTACTTGTGATCTTTGTCTGTCAAATAAATAAGTAAAATCTTAAAAAAAAGAAAAGAAAAGAAAATGCTGATTCAGCTCTGTATGAGCTGTAAAACCTCATGGCCCACAGTCTTAAAAAAAAAAAAAAAAAAAGCTTGCCATCACTGGCGTCGTTCTCTTTACTTTTCAAGTGGCTTCCTTTAAGGGACACATATTTTACCATGTATTCTGAGTCACTCTGCTCCATAAACCCAGTTGCCTGGCATGGAGCTCTGTTCACCGGGAGAAAGAGGAGCCTTTTGCTAATTATCCTGAACACATCCTTTGAGCGGTGGGTGTTGGGATTGCCAGTAGTTCAGATGATCAGGAAGACGAAGCCTCTCTGGGATGACATTTGAGTCGACACTGAGTGACAAGGGACCAACCAGGAGAGAATTTGAGGGAAATGTGGTCTGGGCAGAGAGGATATAGAAAGCAAAGAACTCTGAGGCAAGAATATGTTTGGTGATTTGGTCAGGGGTGGGCAGACTTTTCTGGAAAGGGCCATATAACGTATATTTTAGGCTTTACAAGTCATACAGTGCCTGTTGCAACTGCTCACTTTCGCTGTGACAACACAGCAGTAAACAGACATAGAAAAATGGGTGGCAGTGGTCCGATAAAACTTTGTGTATGGACACTGAAATTAAAATTTCTTATAATTCCCGCACATCACAAAATCTTTTGATTTTTTTTCCCAACCATTTAAAAACCATTTTTAGCTCTGGGGCCACAGTTTGCTGGCGTAAGGTCCTTTAGGTAGGTGGGGATCAGATAGTGCAGGACACCTAGGGCATAACAGTCAGATTAAGGCAAAGCCCCTTTCCCCCTCCAAATGGAAAAGCCACCGCTCTGGGTAACTGCAGGCCGGGGTACCAATTCCGGGGGTGGGCAGCATTCTACGGCTCATGGAAGATGATCAGGTTTGTTTTACTTTGCCCCAGTAACAAGAAAGGACAAAGGAATGAACACACACACACACACACACACACGCACGCACGCACCCTGGGAAGCAGCAGCCTACAGCTCATGGAAGATTATCAGATTTGTTTCATTTTTCTCCAGTAACAAGAAAGGACAAACGAATAGAAAGACAGAGACAGCCAGACGCACACACGCAGGGCTCACGGAAGATGATCAGGTTTGTTTCGTTTTACACACACACACACACACACACACACACACACACACCCCGAGCCAGAAAGCCAGAGAGGACGTGCCCAGGTTCACGCTGACGTTTAACCAGCACGCACTAAGGGTTTGAAAGTTGGGTGCACACCTGCTCCCAGCCGGAGCGCACCTGCTGAGCAGCACTCCGGCCTCATCTCGCGAGAGCGTGCCGTAGTAGTGGCCCCCCACCCCCCTCCCCCCACCGCCGCCCCCGCGCCCAGCCCCCGCGCCGGGGCACACTCCCCGCCGGTTCCCCCGCCGCGCGCGCCTCCCCCGCGCCCCCGCCCGCCGGCTCGCACGCACGCCCGGTAGTAATTGCACTCCGCCACGCGAGCTCCGCATCCCCGCGAATCCCGCCCCCCTCCGCTCCCCTTCTCCCCCCCTTCCCTTTCTCCTCCCCTCCCCTCGCCCCGGCCCGGCCCGCGCCTCCGGCCGGCCCCTCCGCGGGCAGGTGCGCGAGCCTGCGCGCGCCGCGGCCGCCTCCTCCCGCGGGTCCCTGGCGCGCCGGGCCGGGGCGGCTGCGCGCACGGCGCCGCTCCACCAACCCGCTCCCCGCAGGTCCCTCGCTCGCTCTCCATCCCTCGCCGGCGCTCGCTCCCCCCGCCCTTTGATTGACAGGCAAGATGTCGGTGTGGAGCGAGGCAGGAGCGAATGCAGCAGCCGTCAACCCCGGAGCCCGGCGGCGGCAGCAGCAGCAGCAGCAGCAGCATCAACAGCAGCAGCAGCAACAGCAGCAGCAGCAGCAGCAGCGCGAGGAGGAGACAGCAGCCAGCCGCAGTAGCCGCCGCAGCCGCGGGAGCAATGCAGACAGCATCTTGAGGACGCGCTAAAGCACTCCAAACGGTGGACAATGCCCTGTCACTGCAATTGGGAGGGGGGCAAAGCAGATTTTTTTTGACATAAAAGCCAGCCAGCCAAAAATATATACATTTGTCCTTCACGGAGCCGGTGTGTAAAGAGTGAGCGCTGTTTTCCTTCGCCTCCTCCTCTCCTCTCCTCTCCCTCCCCCTCCTCCTCCTCTTTTTCCTCCTCCTCCTCCCCCTCCTCCTCCTCCTCCTCCCTAAGTGTACAGACAGCATCACATCACCTGGTTTGCTTCGGAGAAACAGCATCTCTCCTTTTCAGGGACCAGAGACTCAAAAAGAGGAGACATTCGAATGGAGTCTGCTTGATACCCCAAAATAAAATAATAAATTTTGGCTCTTGTCCCCTCCTCCCACCCCACCCCCTCAACCCTGTGTGAGATGTTGGGTTTCTTCTTCATGAGACATTGTTGAGAAGTCGCAGTGGTTGGAGAGCGTAGGGGGTAGACTACCTCTACGCCCCCCCCCTTTTTTCTCTCTGGGAGGAGGAGGAGGGGAAGGGGGCTTGCCGAGCAAGCGATGGATGAGGAAAACATGACGAAAAGCGAGGAGCAGCAGCCTCTGAGTTTGCAAAAAGCCTTACAGCAGTGCGAGTTGGTCCAAAACATGATAGACCTGAGCATCTCCAACCTGGAAGGGCTTAGGACCAAATGTGCCACCTCCAACGACCTCACACAAAAAGAGATCCGGACCCTGGAGGTAGGTGTTGCCTGTGGGGGGGGGGGGGAAAGCAATCTTTCCTTCCCTCTCCTTGCTCCCCACCACCCCCCTTTCCTTTGATTCTGTTTGTTGGGGGGCGGGAGGGTGTGGGAGGGTATCAAGGTGGGCACGATTGGGTCTCCTGTGATTTATCTTCTTTGCAAAGCCTGCCCTGGGTGTCCCTTTACTGTACCGCTGTCGTCTACGCTTGGCTGGGTGGTGGTAGTAGTAGTAGTAATTGTAATTCCTTATGTATTATTATTCTTGCGGCTGTTATTATCATTCGCTTCCCCTCCGAGGAGTGAGTTCTCTCTTTTTTCCGCTTGTGGGTTTGTTTATATGCCACGGGGGCTTGTGTGCTGGGTAAGGCATTAAGGCGCTGCAGAGAACCCACGTGACCTTGCGCATTCTGCAGGTGGTCAAAGGTGGTTTTTGCTCGCAGAATGGGGCTGCCTATAAATATAGACCTCTTCCGAGCTCAGCCTCCTTCCCTGGCCCGCTTTTGCCCCTTGGATTTTGTTTTTGTTCTTTTGTTTTTGTTTTAGTTCAGTGGTATCCATGTCAGGGGGTAAAGAGGAAAAAAAAAATCCCCATTGAGTTTCCAATCAAACCGTTTGATGCAGGGAGCTGTTGCAGGCCTGAAACGTGTAAAAAGATAAGAGAAAATGTGCCTGGATCGGCACACGCAAGCGGTGTGGGAAAATACTCTTGAATCCGTGGTGGGACCGCGGGGAAAGGGGTCGGAGGAGGAGTCATCTCTGGCGAGTTGTAACATTGTCTCCAGCAGAACTTGAGGGCGAGTTCGAAGCAGTTTGGGGGGATGGGGTTGGATGCAAAGTTACTCAGAAAGAAGATGGCAGAAATTATTTCTTCCCAAGGCAGTTTGGTCAAAGGAGGAAGGTTTCAGGAGCTTTAGAAAATGTCTGGTGTGCACGTAATCACTGGGCATCCACGTTGTTGGAAACATCTGAAGGGTTCCACTCACTTCTCCCTCAAAACAGCTGTACACATGGCTTGATTAAATTTGGGAACTCCCATTAGCTGGCATTTGCTGAGGGTAGTGGCTGTGCAGGCTGGGAGCATAGGAAAGGGGTTCTCCCTCTGGAGAAGTGGGCATGTGTGGTGCTGGGAGTTTCCCTGTGTTTCCACTCCAGGAGTTTCCAAGGCCCGAACTCTTCCGTCCCTGCTGAATCTTTGAGCCCTGTGCCCCCGTTCCTGCCTGGATAAGTTCCACTCTCTGATTCACTTTAAAATTGCCCCCCCCCCCCTTCCATGATTTTAACTTTGGCTGTTTGGAAGGTCATCAATTTGAAAGGAGAGAGAGAGAGAGAGAGAGAGAGAGTGTGTGTGTGTGTGATAGGCTGTTTGGTCCCCTAGAATACATGTCTGTGTGCACCTGTCATGTGGGAAAATGATCCTCAGAAATGAAATAAAATACGTGTCAAGAGGGATCAGAGGAGTGGGGACTCTGTTGGGAGACCAGGTACTTGCTTTCTCGGAGTTTTGGGAGAATAGTCTAGGCTAGGACTTTGTGGCTGGAAGAAAAAGTGTGGGATGCCCTGGCCCAGCCTTCTGTCTCTGTGTGAGTAGTGAACTCACAGAATGGCAGGCAGTAAATAAATAAGTAATCCAAAAGGGCCACCTGAGTCCTCTTCTGGTCCTTTGGGTCAGGAGTCCCAAGTGCTCATTTATGTATCCCTGTGTAAGTTCCCCTGGTTTAGTTTTCACCTCTTCTCAACATGGCCCATCCTCTGATAGCTTCTGGAACGATGGCGATGGTCACAGTGGACCCTGGCCTCTGTGGCTTCTTTCCTGCACCATGGTTTTCTTTGAAAACCGGGGGATGGAGTTGCAAGAGGTTGCAATTACTTGGAGCGCGTCTGATTGTCAGTGTCCTCGTCCCAGGATGCCAAAGAGCATACCCACAACCGCTTCACACATATTGTGCAGGGAAGGGTCTCCAGCAGTCATGCCAGCTCTATGCTTCTCGGGCCCCTGGGGCAAGGCGGGGGGCCACTGAGGAAGCGCTGGTGACTGGGTACAGCCAAATCCTGCCAAACCTCGCCTAGGTTTTGGACCAAGGTTCTTTATCAACCAAATGTTTCTGTATATCAAAATGTATATCACATTTTGTATATCAAAACTGCCCAAGGGAACTTATTAAAAATGTGCCTTCTCAGCCTCTAACCCCAGAGGTTCTAATTCAGGTGGGACTGGGGGTCGGGGGCGGGGGGAGAGGGAAGGCCCAGGAATCTGCATTTAAGAAACAGTCCCAAGTGTTTTGATGCATGTTTTCACATTGACACTCTGAGGAATACCCACAGATTGGGACATATTTCTGCAGTTTGATGGTGAGAACTCCCTGCTCACAAACACTGAAGTAAGCAGTACATGGAACGTCCCGGAAAACCGTGATGATAAGCAAAATTTGGTAGCATGCCTATGACCCCATGATAACAAAAATATACAGCGTAGACTGAGCCTTCCAGAAGCATCCTGCATGATTAGGGAGACAAGGCTCACAGTATAGGTGTGAAATAATGATCAAGTCCAAACAGCAAATGATACGGGAGGGCAGCATGTGGGTCTGTGAAGAATATTTTCAAACTGCATGAAATGGAAAATTCAACTATGTGTTCAAGGGAACAGTGGCTTATTTTCCTTGTGTAGCATCAAGTCTGGAGGGATGTGGCTGCTTGAGTTGGCTCAAGTAAGATAGTAACGCCGGGGCTTTCGTCTCTTTGAGCTGTCAGTGGCCTTTTTCTAATGGTTGCAAGCTTCAGCCATCACACCCTGGTTCAAGGCAGGGATGGGAGGCGCCAGGTGAGGAGTGTGCAGAGATAAAGGGTTCATGTCTTTTTTTTTGCTTCCCGAGAATACCTCTTGCTACCTAACCCACAGATGATGTTTTATTTTGTTTTTTTAAAAGATTTTAGTTATTTATTTGACAGAGAGAGAGCGAGAGATCACAAGTAGACAGAGAGGAGGGGGAAGCAGGCTTCTCGCTGAGCAGAGAGCCCAATGCGGGGCTCAATCCCAGGACCCTGAGATCGTGACCTGAGCCGAAGGCAGAGGCTTAACCCACTGAGCCACCCAGGCGCCCCTCAGATGATGTTTAAGTATATCTTATTGGCCAAAACTTGGTCGGATAGGTAGTCCCAGCTGCAATGCTGGGAGATGGGGAAGCGGGAACAGCATCGTGAGTGGTTTAGATGGGTTGTGGTCCATTGCCTCGGTTGACCTGTTGTCACTCCATACACAGTCAAGGTTCTGCTTGTAAGAAAGCAAGAAGGGATATTGGGTGGACAGCCAACAGGACTGGCCGTGGCATGTTATCAGGAGGTATTCTGGCAGAGAAGAAAGGCCATGAGCTTTGGAGTAAGACCAATACAGTTTTAAACTGTAGCTTTTCTGCTTAACTTTATCTTGGGCTAGTGATTTAAATTTTCTGACCCATGGTTTAATTTTTGGCAAAATGGCAAAAAAAGAATAACATTACCTACTTCAGTGGTTATGAGGACTGAAAGACAGGACATTTTCAAGGGTCTAGTGCTATCTCTAGCACAGCCCGCAGGGGTTGAATAAATGATAGTTATGATGATGATATGATTAGCATTATGTGGTGTGGGCTAGATGACATGGAAGGGAACAGCTCAGATCAGAGGGAGAGAAGGAAGAGTTTGAGCAGCATTTCCAAAGTATGTTCTGTGTGCAACCTTAGTTCTGTGGTCTGGTAGCATTTTCCATTCTTCTAGCACATACTAGTGATCTAGGCACTGTGCTAGATGCTGGTGGTCAACCACTACTCTGAAGACAAGATGAATTCCTTGGGTGCTAACGCCCGAGAAAGATTGCGTTAAACAAAGGGAAACAGACTTCTCAGAGTCTTTACTATACTAACTATGGGCATGGTGACTCCAAGAGAGGGTTGGGTCCTTTTTCCAAGGATATCCCTTGGTTTGATGTTCCATAGAATACACCCAGGGAAACATTTGGCAGAGCAGTTAGTGTAGCTTTCTTGGTTGGGGAGCTGGGGACCCTGAACGGAGAGAAGAATGGGGGAAGGCTTAGATCACAGTAGGTTGGGAGAGCCTGCGCAGCAAGACAACAAGCTGAAGGCGTTTCATGCCAGTTCATGCCTTCGTGGGGCTGTAGGGAGACCAGTTGGTCCAGAATGGAGAGTCCCTGATAGAGTGTCAAAGGAAATGAATTTAGATCACAAACTCCTGAGATCTGACTAAGGACAAGGGAGTCAGACTGACAAAGTTTCACTCCTTTGAGGAAGGAGGTAGAAATCTTCAAAGGTTTCGGAGTGAATACGATAAAAATTTGTTTAAAGGTTAGTCCGATGGCAGCCTGCAAGCAGGGACTGACAACCTTTTTTGTCAAGGGACAGAGAGTAAATAGTTTAGGCTTTGTGGGTGATGCACACCCACTGCCCATCACAGCCACTCAGCCTTGCTATTGTCCCGTGCAGTAGCCATGGATGAACTATATCCACAAATGAACTCTTCCCTGTGCAGTGTCATGTATGGACCCTGAAATCCCAACTTGAAATAATTTTCACATGTCCTAGAAACATTATTTTCTACTTTTTTTTTTTTAACTTAAAAATGTAAAAACTATTCTGAGATTTGGGGACTTACAAGCACAGGTGGTGGGTCAGATTTGGCCCGTGGGCGATAGGTAGCTTGCTGATCTCTGATCTGTAGGGTGGACGGCCTAGTTCTGCTGATCTTGCCTGGGTCACTCACGTGGTTGCCATCATTGGGTGGCTCAGCTGTGCTGGATGGTCCAAGACGGCCTTACTCAGACGGCCAGTGGTTGGTCGGGGTGCCTTCGTTTCCCTCCCCATGGTCTTTGCAGCAGGACAAGCAGATTTCTTCCCTTGTGGAAGCAGCAGTGTTCCAAGACAATACACCCTGTTGTGCAGCCCCTCTCAGGCCTCTGCTTCCGTGACCTTGGCCGGTGTCCCATTTGCCAAAGCAGGTTAAGTGGGT